CATGGATTTTAGAGCATCAGGAGTACGATCTTTAACACTGAACATATTTTTAATTTTGAAAGAAGTGAAAACTAGTTTGATATTAAGGTCCGATTTGCAATTTCAGAGCTGAACAACAGAGAAATTTCTAAAATCATAACATTTTAGTAACATTTTATTTTATCATTTTATATAAACCACGTGGAGCGGTTTATATGGCGTCATATAAGGAATCGCTCGACCAATAAGATCGCTGGAAACTCTTTGCTCAGCTTTGAAATTATACTAACACCTATTAACAATTGACTAACGTTTTACGACACCGGAAGAGTTTCCACAGTTCTGTCGCTCACCAGTTTTACAGGACTTACATACATGTATTTTTTTGATATGTCAAAACTTTTATTTGTAAACAACAGAACTTGACCCCAATCAAGGCAATCGTTTAGTTCTTTTAAAATTAAGGATATCTGAGACATTTGACGACATTGCGTTTTTGACGATAGACGGTTGATATTTTGACCATTTGACGGTTGACAGTTAACTACCCTCTCACAATCCTAATCGACTTACAGGATGTCCGCCTTTCGTCACATCTTACATCATACATCTTACATCATATTACGCAATAATTAATTTGTTATGCATCTGTGACGTCACCATAGATCCCAGTTCTGCGCTTCCATTAACAGAACCACCATACAGGCAGTGTGCAATATGGCGGTCAAAATGGCGGACTAAAGGGCGATTTTCAAGCGTGGACTTAACTGATATGAATTTTCAAGTAATTCGTTTAACAAATGGTTAAAGCACAAGATAAGGAGCCGATTCTTAACGGGGATGTCGAACAACATGGTCAGATAACACAGGGAGAGTGGTATTTGAAGAGTCATAGGCGTAACGCTTATGACCGTCCAAGTCAAGACGCCAACATAGAATTCAAAGAAGTAATCGGCTCCCTGAGCGCTGGAGCCGTCGCTGGAGCGATTGCGAAGACGACAATTGCACCATTAGATCGGACAAAGATCATCTTTCAAAGTAAGTGAATTAACGAACTTAGTTTGTTCTCAATGCCGTTGTTATATTTTAAAACTGGCTCGAAGAGTTATTTGATTTTATTGTCAACCGCTTTCTGAATGGAAACTTAGTAATCTTAATAAATACGAGTTTGCAATGGCTTTGAAAACTAGCTGTAAGATTTTATTGTGGCTATAATTTATTCAAATTTTCTCTGAATCAATATTCTTGTATCTTACTCTCAAGAATGTCACGTAAGCTTCTGCATCTGCTGCCCAAGCATACTGTGTGTGATCTTGGCGTTTAAAGGTCATGAACAGGAATATCTAACATATTAAGATTGAATTTTAAGGGTAAGCGTGGGCAGTTAAAAAAAGCGATTATAAATTATTATCATAATTGGCACTGTTCTACTTACTATTTAAACTTTTGTTAAGATTCCTACAAGATTCTATAGCTAATAAGATCTTTTAAGATTATGTAATGCTCAAACTTGTCAAGATTCGTTCAAGAAATTTGGTGAGATCTTAGTAAGATTATTAATTCTTAATAAGATCTTGATAAGATTTTCATCTTAATTGCCATCTTATAAGATTCTTACATGATCTTACAAGATCTTCCAAGATCTTTACAAGATTTCCATCTGGGTAATCCAATGCTTTGTACAGTAATTATCTGAAGATGACAGAAGTTTCTGTCAAAACATGTTTACATACTCAAAAGTTTTATCGCTTTCTTTAAATTCTCAAAATGGAAAAAAGTAAAATGGAAAGAAAAAGCAAGGAATATAACATGTTAAGTCTCCTTATCTTTTTCTCATAGCTGCTTGGTCGCTTACAGTCTTTTTAGCACTATTTTGCCAACTTTGTTTGTTATGCACATGGTACCACCATGTAACTGTGTGTAAAAGTATACAAGGCTGGTCACTTCAACTGGTCCCAAACACAAACTGTCACCACTCAAAGTCTGATAAATTCCTCAACAATGGACTGATCCTAATGCCTACCTGTTCGAGCAGCAAAGGTTTCCAAATTCTGCTGCATCTATCCAAGAGGCACTCTGTTGTACCATCCATTCTGACTAAAGTGCTTTGTAGTGGTTTATAATGCAAACAGCCTCACCAAAGAATTCAGATATCAAAGCACTTCTGACCAAATAAATGACTTTCCTGGGGATAGATAGGAAGGTTATTCCTTTTACCCCATTACAAAACAACACTGTCATAGGAGTTGGTGTGTGTAATTTGACCCAATGCAAAAACTCCACTGTCTCTAAAAGTAGGATTATCCAGCAGATAACCAAGCTTTGTTGTAGACTGCAAAAAAAAAAAAAAAAATACATGTACATCACCCTCCTTTATTTTAGCTCTACTAGCTACAGTATACAATTTTTTCTCTTATGAGTTAATAGAGAACTGGTGTGCAACCCTTTTTGTGACAAAGAAATAGAGTTCTTGGAGCTTTGAAATTAATTATTAATTTTAGTTTCCTAGCAGTGATCATTTTCTTTTACTCATGAGCATACTGATCGAATTCTTTGATTTATTCGTAGCCTCCAAAAAACAATTCTCAGTTAAGGTAAGCCAGTGTGATAGATTTATAATGTATATGTTTTGTTTTTTATTCCTATAATTCTAATTTCATACATTTGTTTTATATGATTAACAACTTGTTTTAAGTCACACAAAATACAAAACAAAGAAGAAAAAAACTGAGAGAGCTAAGGCAGCAGGTATTGGAGTGTTATGCAGCCTTCTTCAAGATACTTTTCTTACTTGGACAAAAATTGATTAAGATACATGCACTCTTTATACTTAAAAGTGAACAAAGGTCATGACTAAAAGATACCATATCCATTTAGCCAATGTGTTGTGAAAATGAGTCCTATCTGTGTTAATATTTCTTCACTATAAGTTGACAAGTCTCACAATCAAGCCTAATTACCCCATGACACCCTAACATCAGTTAGGGTATTCTCTATTGAATCACATCATTGATTAAAAAGTTACATTCTGATTGGTTAATCAAGCAAGGTATTTAGCTTGGAATTGTGAGTTGAAAACAAGGCTGAGTGATATTGTTTCACATCTACACAATACATTTTTTCCTATTATTCAATTATGCAATTCAAGGAAAATCCATTACTTGAGTTGTGAATTCCATGTTAAATTACAGCCAAAAACCGATATTGCACTCATCGCATTGCGATGCGTACGATATCAGTTTTCACTAGTAATTTAATGCAGAGTTCTTTTGTGGAGTAACAAATTTTCTTCTACTGTTCTCTACACATTCTTACACTCAAAAACCGATATTGCACTCATCGCATTGCGATGCGTACGATATCAGTTTTCACTAGTAATTTCATGCAGAATTCTTTTGTGGAGTAACAAATTTTCTTCTACTGTTCTCTACACATTCCTAAGGTGCTCACAGGGAGAGTTGTTTTTAAAACGAAGAGCTTCTTTGGTTGGTGATCATTTCCTTTATTCTCAAGACCTTAATCTTTGTCTCAAGCACAATAATAATTTGCAGGGAGAAATTAAATGCTTGTCACTCAAGGGAGAGAAAGGTCAAAAAAAGATTGTCACAACTGTGCATTTCTTATGAAGCTGTCAATAATTTAGAATCTGACAGAAGTGAGACTCACTGCCCATTGTGGAGTTATAGTTTTTCTATTCTTCATTAATTCTGTCTTGATAGGGAGCTGTAAAGGTTCTAAGACACACATATGTGGAACATGGTCTGCATGGTCTCTTCCGAGGAAACAGTGCAACTATGGCAAGGATTATACCCTATGCTTCATTACAGTTTACTGTACATGAACAGTTTAAACGGCTGCTAAGACAAGGAAAGAAAAAAGGGTAAGACTGATTCCTTAAATTCATGGATGGTAGAATCCCAACTGCATAAAATGACTCTCAGATTAAGACGCTCTTTGCATTTATTAGGTCAATAGAATAACATTGAAATAGCAGTACAAAAGGAATGTATGACTGCTGCTGGAATCAAAGATTTTGCTATGCCACTTACATGTAGTTCATTGAAAGCTTTGGTCTGTGACCTTTAATTTAAAGCCTCAATTGAACTTTCGTTTATTCTTTTTTGATCTAATGACCACTCTATGTCACAAATACATTTCAGCCATTTTTTCTTGAAAGCAAGCCTCGGCTGGTTTGATACTTTCAGTACTGTAGCTATCTTGATTGTGGTTTTCTTTATTAATTGGATCTTTGTGAGAATTTACTTGAAAAAATTTTAAGGCACAAGTATCACATGGTTGATACTTGAAGCAGATGGACAATTTTCTCAGGTTTCCATTGTTTTCACAGTCTCTCCAATCTTGACAAGTAGATTCTATTTATATGTTTGTGACAAACTTATATAATGCTTCATATAACAATGAGGACATTTAAACACTCAAGGGTTTGATTTTTTCTTGATTTTCAGACCATTGCCTCCGGTGCGTCGGTTCATAGCAGGGTCATTAGCTGGTATTACAGCAGCATTCTTCACGTATCCTTTGGATATGATTAGGGCCAGACTTGCCATTACCTCAAGAGACAGGTATACCACTTTTAATTATGTATCCAATTAAAATTATTAAAATTATAGAAACAGGAAGTACATGCCACTTGCTTATAATTGCATGGATAGACGTTCTAGTCTTCTCGGATAAGGATGAATAAACCGTAGGTCTTGTCTCCTGCTTCTATTAATTAGTTAATTTGGTTAGGCAGGAGATGCTAAAGAACCTACTCATGAGATTACTGTGATGTGGTCTGGCCTGGTTACTAGGAATTAGGGGGGGGGGGGTGTTAACGTGGGATCCACTGAAAAATTGGCTAAAGCTGTAGTGGTCTCCCTGTGTGAGATAATAAGGCAGAGCTAAATACATATATACAATTGACTGGCCCTTAACCCTATCAATAAATTACACAATAGGCTGGTTTTTTTCCTTCAACTTTTGAGTTGGAGATTTTTTGGTATTTGAGAATCCTACTAGTTGCCAAACATTCCTTTGACAAACATTGCTTGATGGCAGCATTTCTTCAAAAATGAAAATTCCCAAATTTTATTCCAAATGCCTTTGACATAAAATATGCATATAGCAGGGATTACAAATACGCCAAATTTGGCGTATTTTACGCCAAAAATTTATTAGTGACTCCAAAAAAATTCCAACAGGGAGTCACTTTGACTCCAGAGAAGAATTAAGAAATGTTCAGCAGAATTTTATTTGCTGCCCAGCAGAATCTTAAAAATTGTTACATCCGTAATGAAAGAACAAAAATGGAAGGTATTGGTATTCCTGAAACAACAACATTCCTTTGTGACACAGACTTTGTCCGCAGCTCGTTTGCGTCTGAAGCACTGCACGTTGATCAGCCGCCATTTTTAATTATGAATGTGTTTGGTCAGCGGTTCTTCTCCGAGCACGTACCACATATAATAGTAGTATAAAATGCCTACACTGCACGTGCTCACATTTTCAAAAATGACTCCAAAATTTTTGGACAAGGAGTCAAAGTGACCTCAAAGGGAAATATAAATTTGTAATCCCTGCATGCATGAATGTGAAATACAATAAATTGCAGGGGAAGCAGATAAAAATTTTACTTGCTAAGCTCTCAGTGCCACCCCCCATCCCTTTGTGTCGAGTTGTTGATTTATGCTTATTCAGAGTCTTGCATGTTGTTGTTTGAGAATCTCAAGATCTTGAAAATGGCGTCATCACACCATAAGGTTTACTTTACTTTGTTTTCTTTTTTTGATATTTCTGTCAGGTATGCTGGACTTCTGAACACTATAACCAGCATCTACAGAGAAGAAGGTTTATCCGTGTATTACAGAGGCCTTTTGCCCACACTAATGGGAATAGTGCCCTATGCTGGGATAAGTTTCTTTACTTATGAATCACTCAAAAAGCTTTACAGTGATGTCTTTCTTGAGAACAAACTTAACCCTTTGCATAGACTCTTATTTGGTGCATGTGCAGGACTCTTTGGACAATCAGCTACTTATCCATTGGATATAATTCGCCGACGCATGCAGACTGATGGAATAACTGGCCCTTCAAGGCCAGAGTATCAAAGAATGTGGAGCACAGCCAAATATGTTTACACCACCGAGGGACTGAAAAGAGGCTTATACAAAGGATTAAGCATGAATTGGATTAACGGACCGATTGCTGTTGGAATGAGTTTTACAACATTTGATCTGTTATACGGGTACATACAGAGGCACTATATCTATACAATGACCGGTTGAGAGGAAACAAATCCTTTTGCATAGCTGTATGCAGAATATCTGTCTGAAAATGAGGGGTAATTGATTTGGGCCTTAGGTACTAATGTACACACTGTTTGAGGATGTGAGTGTTGGTAGTGTAACAAAATTAACTTCTGATAAAAAGTTGCTTCTGGTGTGCGAGGCACTCATGTAACGAGTTTACCCCTGGCACTTTGGATGACTTAAGCGCATGACAGGGGTTAGGGGAGGTGTACATGTAGAAGCAATTAATTCACTAGAATTGTTTGGTTACTTGCAAATCTGCATCCCAGAATAAAATAAAAGCAATAACAATGTCAAATTCAAAATATTAAATAAGCATTGCCAAAAATTCTGGATGATTTCACTGTTTTAGAATTTGAAGTACGTATACGTGCACTATTTCGTAACATTATTTAATTTGTATTTGAAAATCGTAAGGTTCAATTGCCATTGTTGTAACTTGTATTTTCCAAGTTTTTGTCTATTTTGTATATCGTGGAAGAGTTAGCTCCCATTTCAAAAGTGAGGCAAAGTGCAGCATCTGAAGAGGTAAATAAAGATTCAGAAGAACGTAACATTATATGGTTTGTTTGTTGATCGTTTGGAGTGTTCGACCGTTTAGTCCTTAGAAAGTCTGTTTTCGATGAAAAAGACACGTTTCAACAACGTGAGCGGCAGTAATCATCACAACCGAGTTGCCAGTAGTTTGAGCATCGCATAGTTTGGGTCTGCTGCGTGAAAACTTATTATTCAGGTAACTTCTGGTATGTTTTTTACTTTTTCGTCCAAGTAGGGTTTTGACTCGACGCTCACAATACGTTGGTTTAGTTCAGTTCGTTGATAATGTAGATAAATAGTCAGTACGACGCTGGCAATCGGTCGCATCTTTCAGAGAAGTCTGTTCTAAGTAAGAAAACTGCAGCTCACCAAAGTTGCCGTTGAAAACTGTTCGTGCGGTAACTGAGGTTATGCACTGAGCCACGAGAGCCCATTTCGATTGAGTGTCGTCAAACCAAAGCCAAAGAAGTCACAACAGCCAATCAGAAGAAAGGATAACTTTACAAGGAGCCAATGAGAACTAAGAGTAAACACTGTGACCCCATGTAGATAGTCTCCTTTCAGTCTCAAAAACCAACAGTCCAGGCCTACGCAGATCATAGAGTCATTAGTCTTCCTTGGCTAGGCTTCATCACAGCGAGCACGACTTCATTGAGCCCTAAACTTGAACGCTGTCAATAAAGCTAACAAAGCTCCTCGCGTTTTTAAGTGCATATCATGGCCAGCAATTATGTTCTACAAGTCGCTCAGAATTAATTGTGGTAATGAATGGATAACCAGAAAAGAGGTGTCCAGATGACGCACAAGATTATGTGTCACCTTTACATGGTCAACTTCGGTCAAACGAGAGCTGTACTTATCATTGATCGGGATGAGTTACGAATCTATCTTTAAATCGAAAACCACCCCCTCCCCCCGAAACATGATGTATCTCCCATCGAAGTAGGTAGTGGAGAACAGCAGCCCCAGCTGTTTCAATTGTACCATTATTCACGAGTTTATTCTTTTATGAAGATCTTTGAATACGTTTACGTATGTCACGGTAGGCGTAAAACACGTTGACCTTTCTACCAAATATTAGTTTTTAAATTCTTTTGTGTTTTTCTGGACAAATATAAATTTATGAAGGAAAGAGAGCAGACCTGTGGGTGATTCTTTTTGAATGCCTTTATTTTCCCTCAGTAACTACACAATTCTATCCCCTTTTTCCTTCTCTACTAAAAGAGCACCAATATGCACCATCAGTCAACTTATCCTTGTATTAGTTCTTAGACATCTCAGTGTTGAGCCATTTCAACAGGTTTTTCACTTTAGCGTAGACACCAAACTTGCCAGGGCTAGCACATCCATAACCCCAGCTGGTAGCGCCATGCAGATAGTACTTCCCTCTGGTCTCACAAACCATTGGTCCCCCACTATCCCCCTGACAGGAGTCTATTCCTCCTTGGTCCAGACCTGCACAGATCATGGAGTCATGAATCTTCCCTGGGTAGGCTCTATCACAACGAGCACGACTGACCACTGGAACCTGAACCTGTTGAAGATAGTCAGGCGTAGCACCCCCAGAAGCAAGTCGGCCCCAGCCCGTGATCCAGCATCTGGTACCGTCAGTTGGTTCGGCGACGGCATCAGGAAGACATACCAGGTTAACATACCTAAAGACGAAAAATCTTCAGTCAGCGTTAGGTGACTGTGTGGATAGAGAGACCATCTTTGTAGCTAAATGAATGAAGTCATAAGCTTCCAAAACAAACATAGATGCTTGAATAAAAAACCTTACAATTTTTTAGGAACTTTTCTTCGCAGAAGCCCTTATTATGAATTTAGCTGTCCATCTTCCTTGGGGCGTTTTCTGTGATAATACATATTGTTTACGTGTATAATTAGAGAGTTTCCTTCATATGTCCATGTTATGCTATAAGAAACATGCTGCAGTGAACGAAAAGTTTTGATTAATTTGTGTAAAAATTTAGTTAAACCTGTACTTCTTACATATCCGTGTGTTATAATCAAAACGTGCTCCCCTTTACTGCCAGAATTTGATTATTTTGTGCCATCAAACAGGTGAGATGTTAAAAGCGAGTAGGTTAATATTCGTGTTTACTAGACCTGTTACGCTGAGCTGGTTTTTGCAATTTAAGTAAAGCGATGTCGTGAGCATATCTTGTTGGCTTGTGATAAGATGGATGAGTGATCACTTTGCTCACTCTGAAGTCCTGCTCAAAACCAATATTATTAACACGTCTGTGGGCACCAGCTCTAAATAATAAAACGAAAAATAAAATAAAGCCACTAGCTATAAGGTATTTTGTCGCACTGGGTTATTTTTCCATTTCTAAGTCGATTTTAGTCAAGAGTATCTTGATGTGATTAAAGGAGATGGAACTGAATGCTGTTCGCAAGAGATGATTCATGACTTATGAACAGTGAACTCCAATGAAGAAGAAGAAGCTAACGTTCTCTCTCTCGAAGATGTGTCGAGATTCAATGCCCTTTTTAGCAAAGCATCGAAACAGACTCGAAACATCTTTATTTGCACTAAGCAAAACTCTTTCCACATTGATATTAACATATCTAGTGACATGTTATCTTTGCGCCAGATTATTTTGAATGCACCTATACTTGAAATTTAAAACTGTACTTTTGAGACCATGTTCATCCTTTGCCAGGGTATTGATTTTCTTTACGATAATAGGAAGTGTTCGGTCGTCTTTTTGAGTTCTACATTGGATTCGATAAAGTACCGCTAAATGAAGATTTTAAGAGGTGGTTTACCTTACGATGATGGAACTTGGAGATTTACCGCTGACACAGTGAGTGGCCGTAACGACCCACTGGGGACTGACAAGGGAACCTCCACAATAAGGAAAGCCACTTGTGGTACGTAACTGAACCTGCCATGGCCAGTCACCGTGTTTAGCAGCGACACCACCAACGATCCTACTTTGTGGGCGGATACCGCAAGAACCTTTGAACCAAAGTATTAAAAGAGAAGGGGACACGGTAAGCTTCTTGTTCGAATTGCATCGTTAGTACTTAGCTCTGAGCACTTCCAAGGGTGCCAACGCGATTAACATGCATGTGTCAAATGACAACCTTTTAGTCAATGATAAGCCGCTATCTTTTTCATGGCGACATTGATACCTTAGATGCAATTTGAGCGAATATGATTGAAACATTGCATCATCCTCCCGTCTTTTACATTTTAATGTACCAGAGTAGTGCGTTTTCTTCTCACCCAATGACCGCGCCTTCATTGTCGCCCAGGGGAATAGGACGAGGTTAAATGACTCTGCATTGATGCCACGCGAGATTCGGCCGAATTGTTTATATAGCATGTGATAGTACAACTGTGGTAATCGTTAGAGGTTCGTTCTCTTAAAACACTGGAAATCGAATTATTCCCCAGAATATCCTACCATCCTATATATCGAGCAAACATATTGTTTGATTTTAATGGGAATTAGTTTATTTTTCCGTTTGTGCAGAAGAAAATCATCGTCTGCTAAACCTTGAACAATGGCAGCTTTAAGGTAACAGCATGGAATACCTCAGAGAATGGTAATCCATTGCAAGAATCTGTTTAAGATCTCCGGAAAGTGCGTATGGATCAATATGAATTCCTTGTTCATAAATAGCCATGGATGAGCAAATGCATTGAAAAATGTGACATGTTTTGGATAGAGTGTCATTGAGCCAAAACCAGAATTATGCCCATAGCCAAAAAAATTAACACTTGATGCAAAATTATTGTCATAAATGAACGAGAACCCAAGAAAATGCATGTAATCTACCCGAAGCGCGAAAAAGCGAGAGAGACAATTGCAAAGTCGACGTCCAGATTTATTTTGGTTTCACATCAGATTTGTTTCAAGGACGTCATGTGTTTTCCAGACTAGTCTAGTAAGTAGTTGAAGCTTTTGTGAGCACCGTTGATGCTTTAGCAGCTAATCCCGGCTCTCTCTGTTAATTTTCATTTTAAATGACCCTTTATAAGTGTCATTTATGTTGTTAAATTATTATTCAACATGTTCTTACATACGAACCATTTATGTTCGATAGGAGTAAAGATAAGACGATACATAGCTGTGACAATAACAAAAGCAACGATCAAATAAGCTCTCACCAAGCGAAGGCGTTGGAGGCGGTGGAGTTACTGGGAAAGAAATCAAAATGGAAAAGTCAATCAATTACTAGTAACAAAGAAAGAATTCGAAAAGAAAAGAGCCAATTATTTGAAATTCTAATTATCTTATTCAAGCATGAGATGCAATTCCCACAATTCCCTATATACGAATTTCTGTTTCAACTTAAGTGTAGGGCAATCGCTAAATGTATTATGAAGAATATGTCGTGCCACAATTGAGATTGGTAACTAAGGGTATTAAAAAGGCATTTTCCACAGCTTAAAAAAGGGCTTAGGCGCCGAGCTCCGACTGGGACGCGTAAGTGTTGAGGGATCTGGGGACCTCCCAGTCTTCCCCTCCTTCCCCGCCTCCCTTATCAGAGCACGGGCGTTTTATACAAAAGAAGTTACAAGTCTTTCGTCAACTAGTGTTCCCTTTTCGTCACTGCATATACTTCACAAGTTGGACCTCCTAAATTTTTTCTGGACTACTGTAGATGAAAACTGACACTTATGACAGGCTCTCGATCTAAATACAACATTCTTCAAGGACCATCTCTGACGCTTTTATTTGTATATGTTATTCATCCATTTTTATCAAGCAAAAGGTCGTGCCTATATGAATTAATTTTGAAATGATATGCATACTTTTGCTGGAATATAAGCTGTACATACCATTTATGTTTGATAGGAGTAAAGATAAGACGATACATAGCTGTGACAATAACAAAAGCAACGATCAAATAAGCTCTCACCAAGCGAAGGCGTTGGAGGCGGTGGAGTTACTGGGAAAGAAATCAAAATGGAAAAGTCAATCAATTACTAGTAACAAAGAAAGAATTCGAAAAGAAAAGAGCCAATTATTTGAAATTCTAATTATCTTATTCAAGCATGAGATGCAATTCCCACAATTCCCTATATACGAATTTTTGTTTCAACTTAAGTGTAGGGCAATCGCTAAATGTATTATGAAGAATATGTCGTGCCACAATTGAGATTGGTAACTAAGGATATTAAAAAGGCATTTTCCACAGCTTAAAAAAGGGCTTAGGCGCCGAGCTCCGACTGGGACGCGTAAGTGTTGAGGGATCTGGGGACCTCCCAGTCTTCCCCTCCTTCCCCGCCTCCCTTATCAGAGCACGGGCGTTTTATACAAAAGAAGTTACAAGTCTTTCGTCAACTAGTGTTCCCTTTTCGTCACTGCATATACTTCACAAGTTGGACCTCCTAAATTTTTTCTGGACTACTGTAGATGAAAACTGACACTTATGACAGGCTCTCGATCTAAATACAACATTCTTCAAGGACCATCTCTGACGCTTTTATTTGTATATGTTATTCATCCATTTTTATCAAGCAAAAGGTCGTGCCTATATGAATTAATTTTGAAATGATATGCATACTTTTGCTGGAATATAAGCTGTACATACCTGAGGCACAAGCTCCCGATGAAAATGTGACATCATCAATTGCGATATCACCATTCCAGCTGTCGCCTCTTTTCGCTTTAAATGTAATCTAAGGGTTTTATGAAAAATAAGCCAGTTCACTAACAACACCTCAAACAATTTGAACTGAGAAAAACCACAGATGTGTTTGGTTCTCTTTGGTCTAGAATCGAAGTACCCAAATATGTGTAATTACCTCGTACATTCCCGTGAGATCGACATTAACCTCTGCTTTAAGCCACTGATTGCCCTTGTTCCCACTTTCATTGAAGACAAGTTTATTATCTATGAACACTTCAAGTGATGCAACAGCTGCGCCATACATATGATAATAAAACTCAAGACACATGCGTCCATTGAAGAGCAGTTTAGGACTTTCCAGGCTCGCTAAATCTCCACGTCTTCGAGGACTTGATGTCTCTATGTATATGTAGTATCCTACAAACAAGCAAAAAAGGATAATTGATTGCCTACTCCAAGAAGATGGTGGAAAGCGGGGGAAAGAGCTTATTGAATCGTCCGTTACATCATATGAATGGCTTGCTTGCTTGCTTGCTTGCTATTTCGACAACAACTACAACAACAGCAGCATTTATTTAAAGACGATAAAAAAAATATTCAGCAAAAGCTGATGTGGTCGTGTACGAACAATAGATCTAAATTTCTAACTAAATACAATAAAACTAAATTCCTATCTAATTATAAGAAGACTAATGTAAGATTTCTACATATTTTCAACAATAAAAATACGTGGCTTAAAAATACACTTGAGTGGTTTTTTAAAAGCGTCAACGTCTTGAATTGATCTCATTTGATTTTCCAGAGCGTTCCACCAAGTAATTGACTTGTATGAGCATGATTTCTTGACCATATCGGTCTTAGGTCTAGGTAACTTAAATGTCATTTTCCTCCTGAAGTCGTAGCTACTTACATACTTTTCAAAGCGACGGTTCATAGGACATGGTAAAAGAA